TTGTGACAAACAAAAACCCAAACACTTTATTTCATAGTTTTTTGAGAATTCTACTCAGCTGTTTTCTTCCATTGCTGATTAACTGTAGTCAATGAAACTCAGCACTTCACAATAAAAGCCAGTCAGGGAAAGACTGTCAGTAAAAGATCAGAACGTTAATTAAATTGGAAGTGAGGTGACATTAAAACCTAAATGAAAACAGTGTTACAGAAGAACGACAGCAGAGCACTGAGTGCAACACAAACCTGTTGTTGGAATTTGTGCTGTGGAGAATTATTCAGTGGGCGTATTACTTCAAACTGTTCCTGTTTCTGCTTTATTTGTTCATCTCTTCTATGCTTACTACTTTTATTTGAGACCTATCTTTAAAAAGTTGGACAGAACACTCTTGTCTGATTTTGATGCATAAAAAGAGAAAAGTCAGCTTAGAGGGACTGCTGTGTATGGAGTCACAAGTTTTTCCATCGTTAGTGTTAGAATATGTTTCACTGTTCTTATAATGTGCCGGTCACATGTCGCACCTCTTCTTTATGCCTTGCATGCGGCGCAGAAAAGCGCAGATCGAGGTGTGTTTGGCTTTAGAGCGCAGAAACTCTGAGTATCTGTTTGAGAACTCGATGTCTCCCAGCTGCCTCCTGCGGTCTAGACCTGAAGACATCAGCTGCCTGAAACACAATCACATTATCATTCATCTCAGTTTTATGTTTACCTGTATATGATTTTGAATGTGCACAATTTTATCTACAATAAAAAGGAAATGCATCACTTATTACACAAATACTGTTGACGCTTTTTGTACAGTGGAAAAAAAGATGTTAGAGCTGACACTGAGGCCCCTCGTTCACTTAAAGTAGCCCAATGTTAATGGAAGACAGTTGTGAGAGTCATGTCAGTGAGCTATACAATAAGCTGAAACTCATCACAAAAATGGCTCCAAAAATTAGAGTAACAGCAGCAACAGTTAGGTCTTATTGCAAAATCTCACTCTGTGTATATGAGATCCAATCCCACATTTAAGTGAAGAATCACTTTTAATGTAAACTCACCTGAGTCTGGCCTCAAGCAGAGCATCTGCAGAATTTGCTGACAGAGACCATGGTGCGTTCAGGGGTCTGATTTGAGTCAGGAATTCTTCCACTTCATCCTGGTCCCTGAGGTTACATGAAAGGAAGATGAACATTTCAAGAACATTTCTGAACTCTGTTGAGAAATCATAAATCTTTGTATAATAATTATAACTATTATCTTATAATTTCAGATTATTGAATTTTAGCAAAATCTGAAAGATTTGTTTGGGAAAGGAAAGTTACCTGACAGGAAGTGATGTGATGAGGTGGAGGAAGGAAAACAGCAGGAAAACCTGAGTGACGCTGATGGATGGCATCATGAAGATGGTAAAGATGATAATCTCCTTAGAAGGCAAGCAAATGATTCAGACTTTCTTCAGTAAACTTAGGTTTTTTTTAACAAAGTTCTCCTTGTGACCTGCGTCTCATCCAACACATCTGGAACAAACTACAATATCACCCAACCAAAATAATCCTGATTCAGAGCAAATTACCTGTTTATTTCTTTCTTCATAGCATCCTCTCATTCTTTCTTTCTGAAATCTAACTTATTTTAAAATATTCTTTCAGTGTATGTCTCAGACAGCAACAATGTTTAAAACATGCCTGTTGATTACTGCTTTTATTTACATGCGCAGTGGAAATAACTGGGTGGATAAAACAGGAATATAAATGCAAGTCTTATTGAAAAGTGGGTACTTACAGGATAGGTACTATGGACAAAACTGAAATTTAGGAAAAACTGACAATCCTCTCCAGTAACACCTTCAATTAACCAACACATCTTTGCGTGCAAGAATATCATATGTTCAAGTCAAAATGTTCAAATTGAGACAAAACAAAACTGCTTTAAAATGCTGCTTTATCAAAAACAATGATGTCTCTTTGAGCTTTGTGGTGAGCGAGAAGCTAAACAGGCATCGCTGTTTCAAACAAAACAGGAAAGCTAAGAAATTATTTGTGGCTAAGATGGTCCACATGATCAAAACAAGGCAAGACAATGAAATTACAAAGGAAACAAATCAAATGCAGTGACTGTTTCTTCTGTAAAGAAAATCCAACTTAAACTGCATTAGATCTATATTTAGGTCTGGCTCAGCATTAATAGATCTCTTTCTTTGCACTTCTAAAAGCAAAGCTTAAATGAACACACTTGGTACAGTCAATGCCTTTTGAGACTCACCTGCACTGATCCTGCTGAAATCAACCCCGCAGACTGATGTCGAGCTCCGCACCACATCCTTTTGTACCTCCTCAGGTATCGACCTCTGCCAGACTTCACTCTGATTTTACAGTTCTGATTATTTATTCTGTCAACAGATTAAGTTTGCAGTCGGATTTTCCAGCTGCGGGTAGGCTTGTTGACATCCTGAAATGTTAATGATATGGGATTGACCATCCTTAATGAGCTTTAATCACCTGTGAGAGCTACATCCTGTTTGCTCACATGAAATTAGCAACACGTCATTGCTGAGTATTGATCGGCAAACACACACATTTCAATCTTTTTTATTATTGGGATTTGTGCTTCTGTTTGCTTCAGAGACAACTAGTAATTAAGACTTACTCCAATAACAATGTACAAACATTCTTGTTGTTGCCCATCTTGAAGAGCAGTGACATCATGCCCAGGCCTCTGGTCGATTATGCTTCTGTAAATCTGAGCTTTTGGAGTTTTTTTTATTCATAGTTAAATGCAATAAATTTGAGATGGGAAGTAGAGGCCTCTCTCTTCTGGAACCACACCCCCTTTACGTTTAGGCTTAAAACATTTCTTTTTGATAAAGCTTTTATTCAGGAGTGAATCATGTTCTGCATACTAATGTACTCCTATCATCATTATGCTGAGCCTTAGCTACTGGAAATCATTTACTAGTGTCAATCTTAGGTCACCAGCTGGAACTGGCCCACCAAACAATCAGACCCACTCCTCGTAACTGTGACAATTACAGATTTATTTGAAAATAAATTGCAATGACTCTTTTCTTTATCTGTCCATTGGGTGTTACAAATGCATAATAAGAATAGCAGAAACATCGAAAAGCTAGAAAGTCAAGTATGTTGCTGTTCATGGAAACCTCTTAAAAATCAGTAAGGAGAAAAATGTGTGGATTTTTTCCATGAAAATGGATAATATCCTATTTGTTCACAGAGGTAAATGGGAGGCCTCTGTGCTTGGTGTGGTCACAGAACATTTCAGTGCTCAAGGAATATAATATTAAGTGACACTATGAGACAAATCATGGCAGAATGCTTTTCGCCATGATTTGTCTTATTGTTTTCTTATTTATGAGGCAAAATCATATAGGTACTTTACACTCCATTGTTAAAGTCCTGTGATGCTTAGCTACTGTTCACATGAATTAATAGCATGCTGTCTTCATGTTAGTCTGTACATTTGGTCTGGATCTGACACTACAGACAAGATACAGGCACATCTTAAAACTTCCTTTCATTACTGAAATAATAGAAAAGGCTGTTTGGACACAAGCAAAGAAGGCACTGGAGAAGCATAATATTCTTGACAACTTTCAGTCGGCTTTTAGAAAGTTACACTCTGTCCTTAAAGTTTCACCATTTCAATCATATGGTAGGGATATCTGGATCTGTCCTAAAATGGTTCACCTCATTTTTTGGTAGAACACTTTTGGTTTCAGTGAGAAAATTTTGGTGAGATGTAATTGAATTTTCATGTGGTGTTCCACAAGGATCGGTGTTAAGCCCCTTGTTATTCTCATTATATATTTTGCCATTAGGCCTTATCATTAGTCATTTTAAAATTATTTCCTATCATCTGTATGCAGATTATATCTAACTGTACATTTCTTTTTAAATTTGTGAATTGGAAAAATGATCTGTTCTAATGGACTGTCTTGAGGCAATCAATGGTTGGATGCCAAACAATTGTCTGCAGCTGAACACATACAAGACTGAGTGTTTAATTCTTGCTTGAGAGAGTATTAAGCCCCAAATTATACAACATCTAGGTCCCTTCTCAAGCTACTGTTTGGAATCTTGGGTTAATTTTTGATGAGTCTGTGTTTTTTTATGCTCATACCAAGTCTTTGACCCGCTCCTGCTTTTTTTCATTTAAGAAAGATCGCTAAACTCAGACTGTTGTCTCCAAAGTTAAATTGGAGATGCTTGTTCCTCCCTTCATCTCCTCTAGATTAGATTCTTGTAATGCTCTTTACTTGTCTGTTAAAGGCTCCTTTATCCTCCTAGGACCTGACGTCCACATATGTGGACATCACATTTTGGGCTGTCTAGACCAAAATACTAATTTTTCTCTACAGGGGCCTGATATCCACTTGCGAGGACATTATACTGCCACAGTTCTATTGAAATGTAAAACGAATGTCTTCTTATGTGGCTCTCATTTATCTCAGAAACAAAAATTAGGCAAAAAAAAAAGAAAATCAGGTAATTCTTTGTTTTTATATTCATCGGATCCCATTCATCCCAAATAGCAAGGAGAAATTGAGGAGATTAAATTACCTTCAACCACCTATGTACCTGTGGCTTCTTTTAAAATACACCTGAAAACTCATATTTAGACAGGCGTTTGGGTAATGTTCTTGTGTAATATGATGTTTTTGTCTATATATTAATTCCCTGTAAATCACTTTGCAATAGATTCCTGGCTTAAAAAGTGCTACACAAATACATTTTATGTACCATTATGAACAAAACAGTTTCATAATATTTCACATAGCCATACTTTTTTCCTTTGGTTGCAATATCAGAGTAATGTGTTGCTCAAAAACACAGGGACGCTTTTTTTCAGGTTAACTATGGGTGACTGGCTCTACACACACAGGTTGTGCTAACCCTGACAGCAAAAGCACACTTTCCTCTACACGTCTATATGATCAGCCATGTTAATTCTGATTTGTTTCCTAGAGTCCAAGACAAACTGCATAACTCTGAACATGAAGTGTTGAAAATATTTTATTTGTTGATAATGCAACAGCTACAGCAGAAGGTATAAGTTACAGCTCAGATTACAGCTAGAGGTCGACTGATTCACCAGATCAAACTAGTGCTCAGTGTCAGATTGAACTACAGTGTTGGAGATTATAGTAATCCCTGTAAGCAGGAGAGCCTTTAAATGAAACAGTGCTTCACATAACTGGAACAGGGCTGGTTAAAAGAATGCTCAAAATAGACTCAGTGATATGAAAAGAATGGACACTTAGCTTTTATACACTATTAATCAGAAAAGTAAATAAGATTAATAAGTGCTAAAAATACTGCTCGCAGTTCATTCTACATGTGTAACAACACTACAGATGACATGGTTACATCTGCCTCTATAGATTCAAATGTAATCACTTTCTCTGGAACTCCCAGTTACATCACCATTTTATTTTTCTTTGCAACATTTTGATCCCTGTGGCATCATGCAAATTTTACATGACATGTAAATGAATTTTAATCTTTTAATAGTATTAAATGACAGACACAAAGCAAAACATGCACTGATGACCTGATGTCTTCATCAAAGGCATCAACAAAAAAGAAAGAAATGCAACACATGTATTCCAGATAGATACTTGTGAAATCTATCTGCACCAACAATGCATCCTCCACTACTGGTTTGTTGATGAGGGTCAGAGGTTTCACACACAGCTTCTTGACCCCATTCAGGTACTTTTTTAGTGCACTGATTGTATTCACAACTGTCTATGTGCATACCCTAATAGGCCCAAATTAGCAAGTGTAAGTACTACTAAGTTGACAGATAAAGTCCTATGATGACAGATTCAGTGCTCACTACCTAACCAAGCCTTTCTGGAGTTATTTCTCTCACTGTGTTTGCAGTGTAATCCAGCATTGTGCTAGGTTGGACAGTTTTGCTACATTGCTCGTTAAAAACTATGCTTGCAAGACTAGCTACTATGGCTGGAGTGTTAGCAGTAAGCTCAGCGGCTATAGCATCAATCCAGTACTTTAAATTAATGAAAACAAGCAAATTAATTTACCAATTTCTACTTTGACTAATAAATAAAGCTATAATTATGGAACACATTTTAATAGTTGGCTAAATGCAAATATATATTTGTTTCAGTCATCAGTCGACCTCTGTGGATACGTTTTAATGTATTTGGTTGGTGGCTTTTTTAAGGGGGTGTTACAGCAGAGTGACTATTGATTTATACAACTTTAAAAGCTAAATCAGCATGTGAAAGGCAGCTCAGCTGAAGGTCTTCAGAGGTCTATTTAATTCCAGTTAACACAGGCCTGTCCTTATAACCCAGTTTACCAGCTTTCCTAAATCATGGATGTTATTCCATGTATTTTGGTTGGTTTCAAAGGTTGTGGAGCTCTGAAGACCTCTGGCCTGAGTTACATCTATCACAGACAAACTGCTACATCAGTGATCCCCTGCTGGTATTCGGTCCGATTAACAAGAATAAATCTGAAAGCTGATTGGTAGGTGTTGCAGTTTATCATCAGCTGCTACTGGTTCCCTTCTCCATCAGTTTGAGTCCAGCTCAACATGGGTGGAAAGGAAACACCATCTACAGTCTGAGATTCCAGTGCTGATGCTCAGCTTCCTCTCTCTGTTAAATTTCCACATTACTGATTCAAACAGTTATTCTCTGGGATGATCATGATGATTCAATACAATAATAACAGAAATATGTCTATATAAGAATTAGGCAGACCTCTCTTGAAACCTCACAAAGAATGTCACCATGAAGATGGCTAACATAACAGTTAAGGCTGCTACATTTCTTCGTTTTCTACATCGATTAATCTTGTGCACACAGTGAGCAGTGGCTACAGAGGCTTTTGGGCTACGACATGCTCAGCGATGTTTGCTGAAGGTTTTTAGAAATGAAAGAGACTGGTGTGTGAATGTTCTCTTTGTGGCCAAATTGAACTTTACAAAGAAGATTTCTTCAACACAACCACAGTTTTGAAAAACAAACCATTTCTCACAGTAAGTAGCGCATTTAACCACAATTTTATTTACCAAGAAAACTCAAGTATGTGTGGATTAAACACTTACAGCCTTCCCTTTCTTTAGGGAAAGCTTTTGTTGCAGTGTTTCCCTAACCTTTTCACCTGTGATGCTGTGAAAGAAGACACTCTTAACAAAATACCCCTTTGCCAGTATTCCAAAGATTGTGCGTTTCTATTAGGCAGTGTCTAACAGCAATTCAGATTTTTCTTAGGCATAAATTCTGTCTGGAATTATTTCATGTTCCTGCACTTCAGGAACAGAAGTTTTTACAGAGCAGATTTCATCTGTGACATTTTGACTAGTAATGCTGACATCAGAGCTTTAGCATATCATCTAAAGCAGGGTTGCAACGGCTCATACACACTTTAAACTAACTGAACCCATAGAGTTAAGCACAGGGTGCTTAGGTAGTATAGAAATGGTAGTTTGGCCTTTATAGAGCCTCTCACAGGTTAAATGCAGCACCTAAAATGAGTCCGACCTTCATACAATATCAATACGGGATTCCAGTAATGCTGTTGTGACTTTCAATGGGAACATACTACAGAGAGTATTGCAGGAGATTAATGCCTGTAGCTTTGGACTATGTGTTTCATCCACATGTCATTGTTTTTTAGCTGTCTGCATTCTTTTGGCCATTTAATGTCTCACTGTGAGGAACAGTTTTGAAAAAAACAAACCAAAAAACCCCCAACATAAAACAAACAAAAAAACTGCAATGGCTATAAAATGTTTTTTTTTTTGATTTTTGGAAGGTTCAGATGACCACCTTGAGATTTTGATGAAGCAATATTAACCTGACAAAAGAATTCAAAATGATGCTTTACTACAGAAAAACTGATTTTACAGCTACAGCTTGAGCTCACATATCACAGACATTACATATTATTGTACAGTTAGTGTGTAAAACTGCTGTTAAAGCATCATGTTTTTTTCTTTCTTTGTGTCTGTACTCAGACTGAGTTGCATATTCAGCAGAAATGGAAGATAAAAAGGATTTATTTGTGCGCTGCTCAGTTTACCCAGTCATGACCAGCTTGACTGAAATGAGACTGAAAAGGATCTTTGAGATTTTTTTTTCTTAAGTCTCAAGTCTCATCAGAATTATTTTCTGTAAATACTGACCCAATTTCCTTCAACCTTTAATGAATGAGCTAAAACCTCTAATGATCAGATGACTCTGGGAATGATTGTAGGGTGTCTGGCATGTAACAGTTAATTCCGAACATCTGAAACTGAGAAAGTAGACCATAACAAGAGCAAGATATTGAAACACTTGTGACAGATCAAAATCAAAGCCCACATGTTTGAACACTTTAACTAGCTTAACAGTTGGAGCTTTGACTGAAAACGATTAGGAACAGTACCCATGACTGGTCAAAACAGACAGAAGATGGAAGCGAGACTGGACAACGATTTGTCACAAAACAAACACCAATAATGATAAAACAAGTTAGCATTACTTGTGATTAACACATGTTTCAACATCAAACGTGAAGCTGAACACATATCAATCATAACAAGACAAGATTAAAAAAACAAGTCAGTGAGAGAGTCAAATCTGAGTTGATAAGTAAAATAATGAGACAAACAACAAAGAAAGAATGAAATCAAATCAAAACAAGTCTGAGTTAAGAGAAAATAAGACTGGCATAGAGGGGCAGGACCTCACTATCGCAGGACTCAAGAACTACAGGACAATTTAGGCTGTGCAGACATGGACAAGTTCATTGTGTGAGTTTTGGTTTCTTTGGTTTTGAGTTCACTCTAAAACTGTGCAAGTCTCAGCTTCAAGCCCGAGTTCAACATTAAATAAATTTGGTACCAAACACCCAACAACCATTCCAAACAAACACCAACAGTCATCTAGCAAAAAATCCAAAATCTGAGGTTGATGTTTTACTTTCTGCATCTAGAGTTTCATCAGTTTTAGCATCACTTCCCACCTGTGAGGAAATCACGTTAAATCCTCAGACCTGGAAAGTAAAATTTCATTTCTGACTACGCTGATGACATTTGTTGAGTAACAATGTAACTTAGCCAGTTGAGTTTTCAAGTGAAAGATGTGATGAGCATCACATGATGGAGGTGGTAGCAGTGCTTTAGGCGGCGGCAATAATCAGATGGCTCCAATGCCTGGGGACAGACTGGTGGAGATCTATATTGCACAGGGGTTGGTGAGATCCTCAAACACTGGCAGTTCTTCAATCCCTCGAGCAAACAGCTTGATCAACTGGCCGTGCACTCTGAGAAAACAGCAGAAGTTGTTTTTAAAGAGAAAACTTAAACCAAGTTTTGATATTTGTAAGGAAGAAGATCCCACAGGGTCATCATACCTGACGTCAATGGCTGTGTGGGTCAGGATCTCGCCATCGCAGTTCCAGCTGCTGTAGGCGGGTGCACAGCCACAAGCTGGGTGGTCTTTGCAGATCTGGCTGAAGATCTGCCGCTTGCTATTCTCATGCAAGTCCAACTCCAGGTCCGAGTCGCTTTGGCAGTGACGTGGCATGAAACGAAAACGCCTCACTCGATGGACCTCAATGAAGGTAAGGTCAAACTGATTGAGCGAACAGAGAAATAAGTATTTAGTTGTGGACCAAAATGTCTAAAGAATATCAATAAAAACATGTTTTTTTTGTTTTTGTTTTAATTTAGACTGGAAATATACCTGGTCATCTTTGCTGGTGTGTCGTAGGAGGTGTCTAAGGAAGTTGAAACGGGAACATTTTCGGACGAGGATGAGGTCTGTGGTGCCGTCAGCCAGGTGGGCAGCAGGCGAGAGGCCTTTAGGGCTGCGAGGACAAGCACAGCTCATGCTGGCAGCGTTTATAGCGAGGAACTTTCCTCGAATCGTCCTCCACTCGCCACTACTCTCTGGATGAAAAAAAACCAGAGATTTAACTTTACTTGTTACTGCTGCCAAAGCAGTTCTCACTCTGTGCCAAAAGTTTGCACATTATTTATTATAAACATACAAAACAAAACAAAAAGTTCCATTCACTACATTCAGTCCAGTGTTTCTCACATAATGAATTTAGTGATGCAACTGCAGGTTTACACACACTTTGGGATTAATGGTTTCTTTCAACTGTTCTTTTCCCAACCTTAAATAACTTAAAAAAAGGATTAAATGCGCAAGGTTAAATTTATTTGGAACTTTCTTTTATCTACACAAGCTCAAATATATACACTTACTTAAATCTTTCAATAAGTAGTGCTGAAGTCTCTTCAGTGTCTTCTTACTTGACAAGGCCAAGGCCTATTAACTTCTTATTAGTGATTATGATTGACTACAACTGGTAGTTTCTGTCACAGCTCTCAGAACAATGGGCACTCGGTGAAGATCGAGAGGTTCAGGTTTAAAGTTTAGGCTCAGTGAATTTGCTGTGAACAAGAGCCAAAATAAACTTGAAGAACCTTGAAGTCAACTTGGACAATAACTTCTCAAAGTGTTCAGAAATAATATGTTGGTATTAGGTTTGGTATTGGTATGGAATTCAATAAAAACTAGAAAAACAAAGCCAGCTGATGTCTACCAAGACTACAGAACAGCCATGGGTGGATGGACGCTGTTTTATCATTTTTCAGGAAGTGTTACATATTTGTCTTTAATTCACAAATATAAATATTTTCTGAGATTTAACAAGAAAGAAACATGACAAAGCCAGACGAAGAGATTTAGGAATGGAGTAATGTTCAGTGAGTAAGACCATTAGAAACTGTTTTTGGACTGACCAGAGTCCGATGCTTCATCCATCTCATACTTCTCACTTCTCTCTGAATTTAGCTGTCCATTGTGCTGACAAATTACACACCTGGAGATTTACAGAGAAACCAGAATTACTTAAATGATGCAATGAACAAGGACTTTAAAGAGAAGCCATTTTACATTTAACCTCAGCGGGTTATCATTTTAATTTATATGACTGTGTTTGGTTGCAACATAAACCAAACGCTTCAGCTGCAAAACTGAAAGTCAGATAGCCAAAGAGTTAATTAACTAGAACAGGATTTATAAAATGTTTTGGTGGTAACTGAGGTCACAGGTTTATGATCAGCTTTAAAATATCTATAGATTCAAAAGAGTATTTATATATTTAAAGAAAAAAGGGAAAAAAAAAGTTGATACATGTTTGGATCTCTCACCCAGATCGACACCTGGTCGCGTCTCGTGGCGTTCCTATGATACCTCTGGCTGGCAGGTAGGACACTGTTCCTTCGTAGTAATGATGAGTCAGGAACATCTTCAGACCTACAGACCATTATCAAAAAAAGAAATGCTTATGAATAATGCACACATGCAAGCAAATGAAAATGACTGGAAGGACTGTGGTAGGCTGATGTGACTGAGTGGTGACATAAAAACAACCTCTCTTTGCTAATATTTAGAGTACCGGGCCTCTCTGACAAATCAGACATCAATAAATTTATCTGCTTTATCTGTAAAACATTATAGATAAAATTAAAGGATATTATATATTTTCCCACCTGAGAAGTCATATCTTGCAGGCCCCATCCATCTCTTCCTCTCGCTGTCTGATAGCACATCGCCATAAAAACCATATCCAAGCAGCGAGACAGAGTATCGCAGGAACATGTTGTTGTGATGAACTGAGCACACATCCAGCGGCTGAGAGTCTCCTGCACACAGATATTAAAAAAAAATGTTATGTTTGCCATTTTTGAAGAAAGACAAGCAGACACGTACACCGAGAATTTAAAACAAATCAAGCTGTGGTTTGTTTTACATTTTAAAATAAGTTCAGTTAAATGTATCAAATATTCTATTAAACTGTATCAAATTCTCACTTCTAATACCAATGTTTAACATTGAAGTCTACTTTAACGCTTGCTTTCTCAGCAAAATAGTTAGATATTACCCCAGGAGTGTTTGTCCTTTTTTTTTTTTTTAATAGTTTACATGTTAACATTAACTTTAGACTTCAGACAGGTTATGTTGCTGGAATGGATATTATGACCGCTGATGTCATGGAGATGATGTGACTGACCCACAATGATGTGTAGTGTAGAGGTCACGGGGTCATTTGTGCCCACAGTAGCAAAGCAGATGCAGTCTGTGGAACCTGAAACAGACAGAAGAAACAATGAGCTGAAAGAACACAAACACCATCCGCTAACAGTTTACCAATGTAGAACATTCCAGTGAAAAGAGGACGGTCATCACCGATTCTGATTATTTTCTTAAACCTTTACAATGTGATTTTACATTGTAAAAGCACTGCTGCTCCTGTTGTGCACACACAAACACCTGCAATCATTAATTGTCCAGGTGTGCGGTTTCACTTTTGTATCTGCACAGAGGAATAATGTCCCCCAGGTGACTCTGTGTGTATTTATAAGCACAGCAGCAGAAAACACCAAGGACACAAACCAGCACAACTGAGAAATGAGGTCACAGTGACTGCCTGTATTTATACTTACATACTTATTGGCTCTCACCTGTCATTAAAAGCTAGATTACCTCTATCACTGTCCAGGTCAGAAGCTAAAACCGTCTTTCTAAATAAGGAAGAAGTCTGGCTATTTTTCACTCGGGATGTTTTATATATAGCAACAATGCTATTTATGTCTTAAAGAGGGAAGAGCTGAGAAAATCAGTTGAAGCATTGATGTGAGGCTTTCATACAAATAATAGAAGGAAATATTATTTACAGACAAAGAAAGAAAACTTTCCAAACAATTTGGTCTTTCTTTTCACGGTCTGTCTTTGTAGGTGTCTATTCTACATGTTGTAAGTGTTGTATGTACTTTTTATTTATAGCAGTTGTTTGTGATGAAGTACCAGAGTTTGTGCTAATAAGAAGATGCTCTTCATATAGGTTAAGGACAGTTTAAAAACTAGACAAGGAGAGACCAAAGTGATTTGTTAGCTGGCAAAACAGCGGACTCCAGAGAGTTGGAGGTTTCTGGAACAATACAGCAGGCGCTAGAGTCTGTTAGTTCAATAAATAATCCCTTGAGGCTTGGAAAACCTTTACATAAGGCTTTGGCCCCAAAGAAACCATGTAATGGTTCCAACCTGCTGAAGGACACCTGTGACACTGTGCTACACTGAAGGATGAAGTCAGAGTTACCTACATTTTTTCTGTAATCCAACACAAAAAGAAAAGCAGTGATATTTCTCTGAGTTTCAGACCTGCAGGAATGATTCCGATGCGTAGGGAGCAGGGAGACAGTGCCTCCTCTGGACTGTTTGGATCTACGCCGCAGTCGATCTGTGTTCTCCAGATCAGTCCGTGGATGATCTCACTAAACATGCCGTCCCCTCCAACGCACACCACACTAAGCAAGGGTCGCAGTGAAATATTAGCATCGACAATCTCTCCGTGACCTTTTCTAAAAGATCACATGTCTAAATGTTGTGCGAAAAACACAGATATTTTCTGTGGTGCTTTTATTTCGGGAAGCTCAGGGATTTTTTACTGTCCTACATGTACAATCAGATCTATGAGCATTTGCATAACACCACCAACAGTTGCAGTACTTTTAGTAAACCTGTGAATTAAAGCTGAAAGTCTGGTTGAAAATCATCATCATGTGTAATTGTCCAAAAAAGTTTATAAATCTGAATTACATTGTGCTCGGTTTCTTTTTTATAGCATTTAAATAATTAATCTTCACTGTACAGGGTGAATCACAAAGAATCTTCCTTTTTGAAAGTGGTTGCATTCTAACACGTAATGTTACAAAGTGTGAGTTTCAGGTGGTTGCTGGTAGGCAGAATAACAACAGCAATGGCTGCAGTGACTCCAGGTATGCTCACAAAACTGTGGGACGAGTTTGACAATTGCTTGGACATATGCCATGTATCTGGAGGACTACAATGTTGTTTTGTATGTAAACTATTAAAAACCCTTACTTCAAGCTTCTTTGTCCAGTCTTTTGAAATCTGATGATTGTTTTTGATACACTCTGTAGCTTATGGGTGAACTTCTATTATGGACAAACAAAACTCACCCATCAAATTTCTTCAACTCTGCCTCCATCTTCAAGTGATCTCTGGCGTGATTGGCGTACTCTGTCACTATGACAACAAACACACAGATTCTCAGTGTGTTACATGTATAATTCTGACACAGGAAGTTGGAGACTGGGTGGTGAGTGATTTGGACGTACCAATAACACTGGTGGAGATTCCAGCCTGTGTGAACAGGGGGGCAACTTTCTGCTCGTAGATCCGTTTTCCCTGACGCTTCCCACCATATGGATTTATGTAAACCAGCAGATGTTTTGGTCTGCTGGCTGTTTACACAAATAACAACAACAACAGCAACTAAGTCACAAATAGTTTGTGGAAACGGCATGAGTTATTCAGACAGAGTGGGTTTTTGTAAAATCATACTGTTACTGGCGAGTTGCTCTCTGATGCTGCTGACCCAGTGCTGACACACCGCCTCATCCGAACAAGTGAAGGTGACCTCAGCACACCGCCAGCGGTGCTGCCGACACCTCTCCACGTACAACACTAAAAACAGATACAAGTTAAAAAAAAAAATACTTATTTAATAATCAGCCATCTTTGATTGCCAAGGTGCTAGAGTGCAGATCATGCAGTGTTTGGATTACCTGTGAAGGCCTGCCTGCAGTCCTTTCCCTCTCTTTCTCTGATCTTTTTCCAGCTGCCATCGTCTCTTTGTCTGCTGCCATTCTCCTCCTCTTCCTCTCTGACAGAGATGATCTCTGACACTGGGACACTGTGGCAGACACCTGAACAACACACACATGCACACAAAGCAGTTAGTGTTGCCGACCAGCAGCCAGCTCTCAAATTTCAGAGCCTCCCAGCAGCATGTGAAGGCACCACCAGGGGTATTGTTGCTTTTGGCTGTTATTTTCTAGAATGAGGTCATGATGATGTGAAGCAAGTCCACATATTCAGAGTGATGCAGCAAGTTTAGCAATACTCGAGTGTGACATGACCCACATATTGGCATTGTCATCTTTCGGATTCACTTCTGACTCACTTATCTGTATCTGCAGCTCACATCACAATCACTCTTCTGCTATTCTGTCTCCACATGAAGGAACCTACGGCACATTTTCATCTTAAAATGGTTTTAATCTTAATTCTGACTTCATGAATAACAAATAAGACTGAGTGAGACCTTGGCTCCATTTCAAACAACAACACTACTACATCACTAGGCTGTGATCATTTCCACAAACGCTCAATTCATTTTCAATAATAATCGTCATGAACTCCAACACAAAGCTTTGTAAAAATCCCTGTTTACTATATTTATATTTTATTGACAAAACACAAAAAAAACCCAAATCAGCTTTTCACCATTTCAAAACAGCATTATAGCCAGAAGTAGCATATTTTTAAAAATACATTCATAAACTTTTAATATCAGAGGTGTCATCAAGATCTGTGACTTTGCCAATAACAAAAACAAAACAAAACAAAAATTAGACCTGATTTAAATCCCCCCCCCCCCTTCAGGGTCACCTCCTTGTGCATCTCAGGACTGGTTCCATTGTTACTGACTTTTTTTATATTCACTCCGTGGAAGTCCTTGATGAAGTTATAGGGAGCCACATCTTCATGTTGAGTGAAGACTGTGTTGGTGAATAACAATTCTGAAACCAGAGCTGGAGCTGTTAATTGGAGATACTTTATCAGGAGAAGAACCACACTCCATGCACTTCTCCTCTGGTCATATTTCTCCTTCTGTTGGTCAACCTCTGCCAAAGGAATGAGGAGCCATTGATAATTCTTAATGAGGCTTTCCTCTAATCTAGTTTGTTGCTTTATTATTAACACAAATCGACCTACATCACATTTAGGATTAGGGTCCTTGCCATAGAATGTCTGGTTAAGGCATGATAATTTAGAGAAAGCTGAATATTTAAAATAAAAAATAAAAAAAACTTTTTTGCCATTCATGCCATTTAAAGAAATACCCAGGTGTTAACCAAAAGTGTGATTTAAATATGAAGGGATGGTCGGTGTTTGGAAGAACTGTTACACTGCTGCTACTGTGATCACTAAATGTTTTCCCTCAAATGCCTCGAGACTTTGAAACTGAACCCCGCATCGAGATGGGAACAGCCATGGTGAATGGTGGTTCTCCTTCTGGTCTCATTTCTCACCTGATCCACGATCTGCTGACTTTGAGAGTGTGTGTATTATTCCACTGAAAACGAACTTTTGGAGGGTGGGCTGCAGTCACCCTCCAAAACTTTGCTCATCAGTGATGGTCCATGATGTGAAAAACACGGTCAGTTTGACACAGAAGTTGATGTTAGCTTGGTAATAAATGAGAAATACGTACACACACTCCAGCAATTCAGAACAGGACTTCCATGGAGCACTGGAAGCAATCCAGAAAAGGACAAGGAGATGATGTTTAATGAGACAGTGGCTAAATTTAGTTCAGTTAAGGTTTTCCTTGTTATGAGCAGAATCACAATACTTTTTGTTTTCACCGTGTACTTTTGATCTATACTATATTTCCAAAAGTATTCGATCTTCTGCCTTCACACACAATAGGATTTGTGTGACTACCCATACTTAATTCATAAGGTTTAATATATTGATGAGCCACCCTTTGCAGCCATCACAGCTTCAACTCTTCTCATAAAGGTTTTCTGCAAATTTTATGAGTGGGTTCATGTGAATTTTTGACCATTCTTCCAGAAACAACTTTGTGATGTCAGACACTGATATCGGACGAGAAGGCCTGGCTCACAGTCTCCATTCTAATTCATCCCAAAGGTGTTTTATCATTGAGGTCAGAACTCTGTGCAGGCCAGTCAAATTGTTCTACACCAAACTTGCTCATCCATGTCATTATGGACTTTGCTTTCTGCACTGGGTCGTGTTTGAAAAAGAAGGGGCCATCCCCAAACTGTTCCCACAAACCTGGGAGCATGAAATTGCCTAAAATGTCTTGCTGAAGTATTAACAGTTCCTTTCACTGGAACAAAGGGGCTGAAACAAACTCCTGAAAAACAACCCCACCCCATAATATCCCTTCCACCAAACTTTACACTTGGTGCAATGCAATCAGACAAGTACTGTTCTCCTGGCAATTCCCAAACCCAGGTTGTACATCGAATTGCCAGATGAAGAAGTGTGAATCCTCACTCTAGAGAACATATCTCCACTGCTCTAGAGTCCAGTGCCCGCATGCTTTAAACCACTGCATTTGACACTTTGCCTTGTGGTTGGCGATACAAAGCTTGGATGGAGCTGCTCAGTCAAGGAAACCCATTCCATGCAGTTCTCTGCACACTGTTCTTGAGCTTATCTGAAGGCCACATGAAGTTTTGAGGTCTGTCATGACAGACACTGCAAAAAGTTGGTGATCTCTGCACACTATGCACCCCTGCATCAGCTAACCCTGCTCTGTGAGTTTGTGTTGTCAGTACTTTGTAGCTGAGGTGCTGTCATTCCCAATCACTTCCAATTTGTTATAACACCACTAAAAATTGATTGTTGAATATTTAGTAGAGAGGAAATTTCACGACTGGACTTATTGCATAGTTGGTATCCTATCACAGTACTACGTTGGAATTCACTGAGCTCCTGTGAGCGACCCATTCTTTCACAGATGTTTGTAGAAGCACTCTGCATACCTAGGAGCTTGATTTTATACACTTGTGGCCATGGAAGTGATTGGAACACTTGAATTTGATGAGTTGGATGGGTGATGAATACTTTTGGAAATATAGTGTATGTTTGAGCATCTTACTCTAAGAAAGAAAAAGAGGAATATCAGACTATTCCTCTACATAACACTTGACCAAAGAGTGTTTTCTTGAAGCCAGGAGCATGTTTATCTCCCATATAAAGAAACTCAAGCAAACTACAGTAGGTCAGCCAAATTAGCAGAACTACAAAGCCAAACTACACATCGAACACTGACACAAGAGCTACAGGGAGGGCAACATGTTTCTGTTGGATCTGTTATTGATGAACAGATTGAACACAGCATTAAACTGACACGTTTTACTCCTAAACGTGGTTTATTCCAAAATATGACTTCTGACGGTACAGGTTATTTCATGAAACTGAGATTATTTCATTACTCTAACTATAGTAATGTTAGGTTAGGAGGTTGCTTTGTTTTTATTTTTCATCATTTTGGAATAAAACCACTTATTTAAATTGGAACAACACAAACAGAGCTCACACTTCAGCCATCAAACCCAGAAACATGTTCTAACAGCAGAACCACTAAACCTCCACACAATGGGGTGGAGGTGGCCCACTGCATTGTGGGAACTAAATCTCCTACCTGGATCAGGTCGACGAAGAAACAAAGGAACACAAAATCCTGCAGGAAAACCATACAGGTAATACTGTAATAAGCAGATATAGAGTAAGTTAACCTAAGACAATCAGAAAAAAATGTAACTTTGGTTTCAGATCAACAAGTGCCTAAATGAATGAGGATACTAAGTCACCCTTTAACTTTATAGTCTACATGTTTTTAAATCAGCCTTCCTTTCTGGCTACTACAGGTGGGGGTGGAGAAGAAAAAAAAATCAATTTAATAAAGTATTCCAATATTTTCCACGGCAACATCGGATCAATATAGGGACAATACAGAGATAAAGTTTGCATGGACTGCAAATAAAAACTGAACTTTTTAGTTACAATAACAAACTCAGCTGCTTCTTCAGTCCACCAGATGGTGCTGTCGACTTTTTCTTGTGAGGTAAACTGAAATGTGGGGCAAAGCTGGTATTGAAAGAAATCAGAAAATGCCATCTGTGTCTAAATCAAAAATGGACTTGAAGTGAGAATTGACAGCTCCTTTCGCACCTTACCATGATGGAAGACTGTTAGCCAAAGACAACAAAGCTAACATCACATGCACTTAAAAGAAAACACATCAGACACTGGAGACAATTTGAAAAAGTTACCTCCCAGTTCTTTCCACAGACACAGTCTGGCTCAGAGAAGTGATGCATAAAGCTGAGGAACGTTTGAGTACAGCTGAAAGGATAGCAGCTCATCATCTCAGAGGACAACTGCTGACTGCTGTCTTACATACATAATACCTGTACACTATGTGTACGCTAGTCTACACATTTGCATTAAAAATGAATTGGAATAGACTGTAATACAAACGGTTTAGTCTGTCAGGTGGATGCAACATGACAGGTTTTAATGACACTGTCGATCATTCTGTATGCTTCACAGTCCGATTTTGCAGCAATAAAATGACAGAAGTGAAAGGAACACACTAAGACTTCTATCTTATTAAAACAGATATGAATATAATTTGCATTTAAAAAGGCGATAAACCCCAATTTATGCCAATGCAATACTCAGCATATTGCAAACAGACAATAATCTCACAAATCAAAATCAATTTTTCAGTATGTGAAGAACCCACACAAGAACTGGGAAAGAATGCAAACTCAGTGTGGAGTTTACAACTTCCTCCCGCAGTGCAAAGACATGCGTGTTAATGGCGATTCTAAAATGGCTATAGGTGTGAATGGCAAACTGTCCAGGGTGGACCCCTTTCTATGGGTATAAGCTGAAGTTGGATGGATGAATGGATGCCTGGAAAGCATTGTATTATGGGCTCTCTGGTGAGTCAGATCTCTACATAGAGTTCCTTCAGCCTAATTTACTCAGAGCACTTAATCTATAGGTCACACATCGTCAGGTATAAAGATGCATTTACACCATATTTCATGCCTACTCGTAGTTACTCATAGATTTCTTTTTCTTTTAAAATGCTGCCGTTCTGCTGGTATGTCTTCATGTCTATGATTAGTCATATGCTGCAAACTACCTCTTTTATGGCCACGTGCTTTTAGCTAGACTGGAAAAAACCCTGGGTTGACTTACTGAGTTGATAAGAAGCTACATGTGACTGGTTAGCAGGACTGCTGATTCTAAGATGAGTGAAGCCAGATAAGGAAAAAGATATCCTGGGCATGCTGAACTTGCTTTATAATACAGGCGTTAGGAGGATATTACAAGCTACAGTTATATTCTTAATATTCACTATACTGTTCACCCATTCAGTTCTTAAATTCAAATATCTCATTGTGCACACTTTGCAAATAATGCTGCACTGTATTCAGTGTTGGGGAGTAACGGAATACATGTGCCGCCGTTACGTATTTAAAATATAAAATATGAGTGACTTTATTCCATTACAATTAAAAGGGTGGTATTCAGAATACAGTTACTTTGTTGAAATAAATGGATTACACGGCACGGTCTTTTCCTGTTTCATATATTAGGCTATGCTCTCTCTATTTTTGGTAATTCCACACCAGAGGAAAAACAAACAAAACGCGCATTAAGAGGTTCTAATGCCTGTGTGTCAATCTCACGGCCCATGTCACCTCTA